TGCAAGCTTCTTCCATGATATCCAGTGTAAAGCACGTTTATCAATGGAGCTACTCCACCAGAACTTGGCCATGCAAGTCGTTAAGCTCTTGCATACCTTCTTTGTCAGCAGAAACACACTCATGCTAAATGTGGGGATGGCTTGCATGATGGATTTAATCAGAGTTTCCCTTCCCGCACACGCAAACAATCTCTCTGACCATCCCTGCATGCAACTTCTTGATCTTTCCCTTATATGTTCGAATGTGCCGTTGGTGATCCTGCCCACGGCTGTTGGGAGACCAAGGTAACGCTCGCTGAAAGTTTCAGCATGTACATCAATGGTGGTTTTGATAAGCTGTCGCTGATCAATTGGGGTGTTTGGACTGAAGAAGATGGCACTCTTCTCTCTATTGACACGCTGACCAGAGGCACTACCATAGATGCGCAAAATCGCATTCAATCTGTTCGCACTCTCAGTATCAGCCTTCATGAACATGAGGCTATCATCTGCGAAGAGCAGATGATTTACCCAAGGGGCGTGATAGTTGACTCAAATCCCTCTATCCACTGTGCCATAATGTTTGAGCAAGGAAGAAAATCCTTCTGCACAGAGTAGAAAAAGAAACGGCAACATCGGGCAGCCCTGCCGCAAACCCCGAGATGGGTTGAAGAAAGGCAATAGTTCTCCATTAACTCGTACTGAGAAGCGCACTGATGTCACACACTTCATAACAAGTCTGACAAGGTCTGCGCCAAAACCAATCTTGGATAGGATAGCTTCCAAATAACTCCATTCAACTCTGTCGTAAGCTTTCATCATATCAAGTTTGATTGCGCAAGAGTAATTCTTCCCCTTCCTCCTTCGCCGCGTGGCATGAATGCTTTCGAATGCAACTAGAACATTGTCAGTAATGAGGCGTCCGGGGACGAAAGCGCTTTGCTCCTCGCTGATGAGCTCATCCATGAAATTCCGCATCCTGTTGATGATGACCTTGACAGCCAACTTGTACAGAACCGGTCATAACGAGATAGGTCGATACTGTGAGATGGTTTGTGGGTTACGCACCTTGGGGATGAGTGTGATCGAGGTGTCGTTCAAGCCCACTGGTAGCTCCCCACCATTCAAAAATCCCAGAACCGCAGTGGTCACCTCATCGCCAAGAAGTTTCCAATGCTTCTGGAAAAAACCCACTGTGAATCCATCGACTCCTGGTGCCTTTGATGGATGCATCTGAAACAGAGCCTTACGCACCTCGCCTGGTTCGAAAGGCTTTTCCATAGCCAAATCCATGCCCGGCGTGACGCGGGCGGGTACATGTGATAATAACTCGCTTGGATCAGAGATACCCTGCGATGTATAAAGCTGTTGGTAGAAACCCATAATTTCCGCCTTATCCTCTTGTGCATTCACACAAACCGATCTGTCTGCTCTCCGAAGACCCATGATCTTATTCATCCTCTGCCTCTGCTTTGCTTGGGCTTGAAAATATGCGGAGTTACGGTCGCCATCTCTCAACCATAGCACGCGTGACCGCTGCCACAGCCAAATCTCCTCCTGCCGTAAGGCTTCCCCTAATTTCAGCATGGTACTCTTCTCCTCATCAGAGGGTCCTCGCCCTACAGATTGTTTCCGTAGTTTCTCCAACCGTTGTCGGAGCTTTCGAACTGTCCTTGCAAGGCATCCAAACTCTTTCTGCCCCCAAGGTGCAAGCCTGTCTTGCATTGTGTTCAAGGAGTCAAGAACTCCTTGCAGATCAGGTGCACGGTGTTGGCCTTTCCAACACTCCGCCACCACTGTTTCATACTCGCGGTGCGTTTGCCAAACGTTTTCATAACGAAAGGGTCGGGTCCCTATGGAACTCCCATTCCCCCGCTGCTCCGAGAACACTAGATTCACAAAGCAGTGGTCTGATTCCGCTGCACTAATGTGCCGAACCTGTGTGTGTCCGTACATTTGCCGGAAAGCCTCATTGGCAAAGGCGCGGTCGATGAGGGCTTTAACATTAGCATCTCCCGCCTGTCGATTATCCCAAGTGTAGGGAACCCCTGTCCATCCCAAATCTTGGAAGGCACACTCTTCGATTACTTCACGAAACGCTCTCATCTGCCATTCTGGCCGGGCTGCCCGGCTGAAGTGTTCATCCCCATACAGTGTTTCATTAAAGTCTCCCATGCAAACCCATGCTCCATGAGGGGACATGAGCAGGGTACGTAAAAGTCGCCAACTGTTGTGACGATCACTAGCTCTTGGAGCACCATAGAAGCCGGTGAATCTCCACTCCGTTGCACCTTGATTCCGTTTCTGCACCACAACATCTATGTGGCCAGTACTATAATTTGTTAGGCCGACCGATAAATGATTGGACCAAAAAAGTCCGATGCCACCACTCAACCCCACACTGTCCACCGCAAAACATCCATCAAAACCTAAACTGAACTTCAGGTTTTCCACCCTTGTAGCCCTCACCTTTGTTTCCATGACAAAGACGAGGATGGGCCCTTCTTGCTTCACCGCATTGCGAAGCTCACAAATTGCCTCAGGGTTCCCAAGCCCCCGGCAATTCCAACTAAGGATACTCATTGGGATGGGCAGCTCTGTCCTGCAGAGGCTACCAAATTTTCAGGTGTTGGTTTCTTCTTCTTGGTTTCCCTCTCCCCCACACCCTCCTCACCTTCCTCTTCACGGTCTACCTCTCCAGAGGCTGCACCTTTTGTCCCAAGCACATTATTGTCGCCATTGGTGAGGAGGAGGGCCTGCATAACCGAGTGATACACCTTTTGAGGTGCCTCTTTGCGTTTTACTCGTGA